TGCACTGGTGTCACAAACCTCCAATAAACCTGCAACGTTATTCACAATATGAATATCACAAGATAGACAGTCACTAAACATCCTGTGCCCTCTAGAAACACTGGCATCCCAGTTAAAATGAGTCAAAGAGGCTTTACTATACAGACATAATCAGCACAAATGAGTCATGCTCTCTTTCAGTGTTCAGAATAACATTACTCTCATTCATAGTAATTACAGTTTTGTACAGAGTCTGGTGTCGAGCACTTAAAAGAGAGACGCACTGTGTCTCACAACAACTGACATCCTTTAAGTAAAAATAAAAGTACATTTCACTGTGATTTGGTGTAGCTTTTGGTAATGTATTGTAGTTTTGCATATTGCTTAAACCATATCGTCCAAGGGCCAAGCGCCACCTTTGCACCCAATTAGTTTTTTGCTGAATTGCTTTATAATATGTATTCCTGCAAAACAGTTAAGAGGCCCCATAATGTTTTCATCTAAATGTATTACAAACAATACAAATAAATATGAATGACATCAAATAGTGCTGTAGCCGTATTAAATAGATATCTGTCAAACCAATTACTTGATGCCACTGCCACACACTTCACCACACCTAAAGAAATGGCAATTTTTGACATAATTTGATTTGGTAATGGTAAAAAAAACAAGTTAAAGTGATAAAAAGTATTAATAGGTTGTGGTATGGTGGCGTGCTGTGAGAGCATGGAATAAATTCCTCTTGCGTCACTGTGGGGACAAATCCCTATAAGACGTCATTCCAACACCGGCACAGGAGGCGGATCACCTAACTGAAGAAAGAGAACACACAAGAGGTTTAGAGAGCCTCTATAGGATGTTCAATCTAATTAGAAGTGTTTCCTCATGAATAATATTGAATAAGAATGAATCACTTGATTATAGATTCCTGTACATGTGTGTGCTGACTGCGTGTGTTGACAGCTTCCTCTGTGTGCGACTGTGTGTGTGTGTGTGTGTGTGTGTGTGCATCTATCTTGCTAGTATAAACAACAGTGGGAAGTGCCAGTCTGTGAAAAATGGGAACCACCTCCTCTTGCTATTCTCCTATTGATTTAATCTCCAGCCCTTTGCCACCAGCCCCAGAATATGTCTTCACAAAACACATCTGAGGACAATCCCCAGTCGGGTTTTGTTCACATGACTCTTTGAAATAAGCATAAATAACCATGACGGGAGGTCAGAATATTTCCCTGACAGTCATAATTTCCCTGCCTGGTGAGAGAGTGGTAAAGCATCCAGCACACGGACCTGTAGCACTGCTTGGGTCCTTTTCATCTTCCATTCTTTTTGTTCAAATCGGATTTCCTTCACCACTATTTCCACTTCAGAATGACTCTACTCGCATTCTTTACATTTAAAAGAACTCTGTAATGTCTACACCCACTGCAGTGACAGTAGCCTGGAACATGGATAGCAAAGATTGTTATGCAGAGCTGTTAAAGCTTACAGGGAAGACTTTTTTAGATGCAAAAGAAAACACATAAAGAAAACATTATGATGTTCATGTGACTGTGAAATGTAGAAAAAATAGTTCTTTCCTTGGCTTGCTTTCCTATGTAAAATCTCCGTGTGCAGGGTTTAGGGCATGGGCCTGATCCCAACTGATTGAAAAGCAGCCTGTGTCTGGAGGTGCGATCATAACAGAGTCTGTCTGAAGCCCATGGATTTTCTCTGGTGGCAGGCTTACCTGAAATACAACTTCCACAACTGCCATCTCCCTGCCGGTCGCATCGAGGTTTGCTACAATTACAAATGACTGGCAGTGAGTTGTTCTCATCATGTCCACATGGGAGGGCAGTAAATGAGAGCAACCGAGTAGAAACAGAAAAAAAAATGTTTGTTCCTCACGCACGTCTGCAGCCACTTCCCACTCTGCACACTTCCATCACCTCCCCCTCACAATCTCATTGTGCTGGCAAATTAAAATGCACGGGTTGCCAAGCCATCCATTCTCCCTCCTCTGCTTAATTGTCTCGAAAATTGAGGAGATTACCGAGTGCGATTTACGTACAAATAAGAATCTGTCAGAAACCTGGCAAATGTATACCATGACATACACGCACACATAGACTCTGATCATTTGGAAACTGTTGAACTCAGAAAACAAACCTCTATCCTTTTCAGTTCTTCCCTTTCTGTGTATTACACTGAGCAACGCATGCTTGCAAGAGCTGGACAAAACACTGGATAGAAGGAAAAACACACAGAGAAGAATAAAAATCACACGTCATCTCTCAGTGTGTTTTGAGATCATCATCCTCTTTGTCTACATTAGTGTTTCTTTTCCCGAAATGTAGATATATGGTCACACTGCAGCACAACCAACAACATTGTTCCTGCCAACAATATTGCTGTGTCAGCTATTTTCTCAGGAAATCACCCGCTTTGAATATTACCAGCCGATTGAATGGTTATCAGCGGATATGAGCTTCAGAAATGTGAGTTAGCAGGGGCCTGCTACAACTACTAGTAGGTACAGAAGGCCGTTATCATGAAGTCACATGGTGGATCACCGATTCGAATACAAGACAATGTCAATCTCTAGTGGCCATTATAATTATAACACGAGCAATGGGGAAAGTCTGGTGACGCAAAGAGCAACAGAGTCCACATGGGTTGGTGTGGTCGTGGGCTACAGGACTCTCACCCGAGAGACTGCTGCTTCATGTCCCGTGTGAAACTAAACGGCGACTCAGTACTTACCATACTTTTGTTACGTAACGTACGTACATCACTAGCGCCAAGTTACGTAAGTTAACTAACAAGCGGATTTATTCAAACAAAGCCACAACATTTTTATTAAAGTAGTTTTTGTCGCCTAAACCAAAAGGTGTTTTGTCTGTCCACGGAATTTAAGTTTCACTTTCACAAAGTAGTGGAGCAGTTTTTTAAGGATAACGACTTATAACGGCCACTCATAAGATTAAAAATAGGTGAGTAGATTAGGAATCGGCTGCCCAAAAAGTCTTCAGCAGTAGAGGTCATAAACCAATCTAAATATGAATTTGCTACATATATTGCACAAGTCATACTGTACATTTATCACCAAATGTTTTGGCAATCAAACCCCCACTTGTTGTTGGAACATATATTTTTTATTAGTCATTTAAATGAAGCTGCCAGAAGTTCATAAATTTAGTATCAGTTTAACATATTTCCAAGTTGGCAACAATGGTTCGCAGCTTAGCTAACATTTGGCACACGAGAGCTTATTGAGCTTGAGGCCAGTGATAATATTCAAGCAAACATAAACTGCAGTTAATGACGATCATACAGTATCAGTGAGAGAGGGCTGTGCACTTCCTCACGTTTTCTGATCCCACAAACCATTGGTGGCACTTTTAGTTTGACGTGTCAAGGGTTGTGCAATGAAATTGTGGAATTATGGAAGTAATTCTATAATGAATTGAATCATGTCAATAGATTATAATTGTATCAAATAGGGGGTGTAGCTGTGCCTTTTGTGTGTGAATATAAGGGATCACTGGATTTAATGCAGGGCATAAACATCCAGTGAGAAAAAGTCAACAACACACAAAAGGACTTTGCTTGTATTCATTTTACTGTGTGTGTGTGTGTGTGTGTGTGTGTGTGTGTGTGTGTGTGTGTGTGTGTGTGTGTGTGTGTGTGTGTGTGTGAAAATATTTGATGATTTCATTTAGGTCGTGTCATAACTGAACTTTCTTTTTTTTTTGCCTTTTTGTCTTTTCTACCAGCTCAACATGTATGATCTTTTTTCAGTTCCTCTGTCAAGTTCTTTCCACCCTAACCATCACACGCACATGCACATGCGTGCACACACACGCATGCACACACACTTACATATGCAGGTGTATCTCCATTGGAGTTGCATGTACGTGTGGGTTTGTGTGTAAATGTGCAGGTGTGTGCTGAAACTACATGTTCTCTCCGGGGAGGGAGCCAAATGAGGCAGTGTGATTATAGCCTTACCAATGTAATCTCACCTCTTAGACTGTCGCCACTCAACCCCACCTCTACCCAGCCTTCCTCCTCTCTCCTCCTTTCATTCCAGCCACTCCAGCTAAATCCAATTTGTTATAGTTTCAAATAAGGCCATGTTTTTCTGTGCTCTTGCCACTTCAAACAAAGTGGCTTCTGTTATTGCTCGTCCAATTTGAAAGTTGAACGTTTTTTTTTTTCCCTCATCTCTCTTTCCCTTCAGGTCCCACACTTGCATTGACACACAATAGGCAGTGTAAACTCTAGATGTGGAGCACAAGATGCAGCAACTGAAAAGCTGTTACACAATTATACAGAGCTGTTCTTTTGTAGCTTGAGGACATTATTGACATTTTTCGACATAGACATCTGCTGACACAAGGTTGACAGGCAGACTGACGCTGCAAATAGAATACACTTTTTTCATAAGTACATTTTATTTTAACATTTTCCAAGAAAAGGTTAGTAACAGCCGCTCTTATTGGCAAATATATCTGTCCCAAGGCTGTGTGTGAGTTCAATGTCTCAATTGTAGTCCATGTTTGATGCTCCAAGTGGACTTGAGGGGATATACTGTATACTCTCCCCTGAAGATCCCCTAGAAATGAATTGTGTGATTCTATCAAATGGAAACTTGGTCGGAACATCTAAAAATGTCAGACTACTGTCTTTGCCTCTGGGTTGATGCTGCTTTTATTGCATTGTCAAGCATTTGGCAATACCGAGGACTTTTCCACATTCTAGTTGTTGATTAATGGAAATTAAAACCATAAAAATAACAATGTGGTGATAATGGTGATGACACAAATAATTATAGAAATTGTAATGGGGTCTTGATGATGGAAGTGACGATGATGTTGAACAGGAGCCAGACTTGCATGTGTATGTTTTCTGCATACCAGTGCACACTCATGACTGCAGATAGGTGTATTTTAGGTAAATGAACTTGATATAAAATAATTGCTGTGTGTGTGTGTGTGTGTGTGTGTGTGTGTGTGTGTGTGTGTGTGTTGCAGGGGATGTTGTATCTGGAGGAGCGGAGGCTGGTCCACAGGGATCTGGCAGCCCGAAATGTCCTGGTCAAATCTCCCAACCACATCAAGATCACCGACTTTGGTCTGGCGCGGCTGCTGGATGTTAATGAGAAGGAGTATAATGCTGATGGAGGAAAGGTAAATACTGTCATTACTTACACACGTTATTTACACTGTCAGACAAATAATTCAACAAATAAAATAAAAAACCTGTATCTCTACATTTGACATCTTACACCCCACACTGTACTGTGCAAGACTATGGACGGTATAATGAGCCTCTAAAATAATTAGAACTGTTTTAAGTGGGAAAAAATGCTGTATTTCTATTCATGAATATATTTAGAAAAAGCTCATAGACATAGTTTGAAATATTAGGAAATACGCTTTTTCTTTCAAAGATTTGGATGAGTGGATGAGAGAGAGTTCAGTTGATTCAGAGGCTAAGCTGAATATAAACACACACACACACTCCCACGGAAACAGTTGGTAATAATAATGATTAAAATTAAATTAGAAAATGTGAACAGTATTTGTATTAGAGAATTGGCATTTGTATGATGCAAATAAAATACTATTGTCAAGTTAATTATATTTAAACACTCCAATATCACTAGGGAAGTACCGATCCAGCTTTTTCAGTCCAAATACTGATACAGATACCCGAGCTTTGCCAGTACTGAGTACCAATCCGATATCAGTGTTTAAGTAGTACGCTGTACATCAGGCTTGACTTAAACATTGCTTTTCCTTTCATGGTAAACCTAAATGTAGCAAATAAATACAGAGATATATATTTACTATTAAAATAATATATTGTACACCAGCAACTTAGTAAAATTAACTTGAATTACAATTCAACTGCAAACCTTTTTACTACAGCAACAAACTGGTCAAAATGTAAACAGGAATTACAATTCCAGTATACGGTATATCGTCTCTCTTAGTGAGCTTTCTTTATTCAAGAGTGCTGTCTTTCAATTTGAGAGCATGACTCATTCATTTCACTTCACATTTTGTCATGATTTTCTTTGTTCATGCACTTGGATTTCTGCTCAAACTGTATGATTGCACTCAAAATATTGTTGCTAATAAAGCTAACGCACACCGCAACAAGACAAGGGTCATTTCATTGGTCGACACTACACCTAGTATTCTATTGGTTGGAGAATTTTGACAGGGTTGTTGCACAGAAAATCCAAGAGCAGAAAAGAAATCTGAGAGCAGATGATTCACTACCACACAGAAGCAGCCTAAGTGTGAAGAGTCGGGCTGAAGCGAGAGCCCAGGAAATCTGTGAAAGCGATGGTATATCTGCATGCAAGCATGAAGTTTCAGCAGCTATTTGGATGTGAGGACAGGGTGTTGAGGGAAAGCATTACAAAATCTGAAAGGGAAATCAATGATTCATGCTCTCAAATTGAAAAAAAACATTTATTATAAAGACAGGAAAAAAGCTCCATATAAGTATAAATAAGTATGTTTCTTTTGTAACTTTACTTATGTAATCTACATCATTTGTAAATAATTAAACTTTGACTTTTGGGTTCACTTGGGACATGGACACCAGTCTCCGAGGTGAAAGTCCCATGTTTGACCCCTCCATCCACCTCAACCTCTTAAAATGTATTGCTGTTGAACTTGGGAATGTGTGTGTGTCCACCTTGACAAAGAATCCTAATTGACTTTCAATTGCCATTGTTTCTGTGGTGCCGCAATGTCATTTTTTCCCCGGAGCAGTTAAGAGGCCATGGTTATTTCATCTATATCTGTGAGATAGGCTGGCTTCTGTGCAATGTGTATGGTTGTCTTCTGTTTCATCAAACCTGGTTTTCCTTCATTCTCACATATCTCTCTTCTCCCAAACATGGTTTACATACTGACATGCTATGCTTCTACCTGGCAGATGCCCATCAAATGGATGGCACTGGAGTGTATCCATTACCGGAAATTTACTCATCAGAGTGACGTTTGGAGTTACGGTAAGCTTCAAATCTATTTGTTTTTAGACGAACCATTAGAGCCACAATGTTTTCATATTAGAGACAGATCTGATTTATTCTTCAGTGATTTTCCTTTTAACGTGACATTAAAATACATTATTTTCAAGAAACCTATATGCACAAAAATTGTGTAAGTGCATGCCTTCTAAATAAATAGATCATATTTTGTTCAGTGCTAAAGCACAAGTGTTAAAATGGATGTCAAATGCTGGATTGCCAAAAATGTTCTCAAGCTTAATGAGAGTTGCTTTAATTATTAATATTGTCTTAATTCATTATTATAGTTGCTGTAATTGTGTGTGTTATGGTTATTTACCATTTTAGTTATTAGATTATTTATTGTATTTTAAATGTTGTGAAAAGCAATTTAGTCAATTCTTCAATGTTTTCTATAGATAAATAGACTTCACTTTCCTTAAGTTGTTTTTTTTTTTAAAGGAAATGCAATGAAATAAGTGGTGTGTGGGTGAATGCAGTAAAGTGTTAAAAGGTGGGCTTTCAGCCTGCGGCAGAAGACGGGCAGTAACTCTGCTCTCCTGACTTCAGTGTGGAGTTCATTCGACCACTGTAGGGTCAGAACAAGGGAGAGCCTTCACTGAGATTAGCATCCCCAGGGTCCACTGAGTGACAGGGTTGCCAATCGTCTAGACAGAGAGGCGCAACGGAAACCACAAAAACAAACACAAGACTTATTAGTAATAGGCAGAAGTAAATATTAAAAATAAGATGTCAGGAATGCTGTAGATTATGGATGCAAGTTAATCTTGTGAGGCATATGCTGTGCATTACATGTACAATAAACTCCAGACTGCTTCCTTAAAACAGGCGGGTTATTTATAGATCTAAGGCAGCTACAGCGGGTTTTGCCATTGTAGCACTGCTGATGAACAAGTGAAGAGTGTTGATTTGATACTAATATATATGCAAACTGAATGATTTATTCCTTTAAATCTTTGTAAATCTAGAGACCAACCTTCTCCATTATCCTTCAGTCTTATGAGATTTGTATTGCTTTATTTCAAATAAAAAATTCCCGGTTCAAGTCACCAATGACTCTTAAAGTCATTTCACAATGATTAAAAAAAAAAATGCAAGATGGTCGTGTCAAAGAGAATAATGTGTGTTTGATTAAAAGTATCGGTACCGTTTATGTCCCCAGTGTTCCGCTATGACCGGGGGCTATTATACTCCTCGTGTGCATTCACTCTGCTTACCACTCATTAGCTCATTAACACTTACATGATTAAGGCTGAGGAGTTCTGAAAGTTCAGATTGACTGATGACTTTCCAGACTCTGATTAGTTGCTCTCCTGCACTCATCTTCTGTCCTCCGTTGACTTGTGTTCTCTTATCTTGTCCTCTCTTCTTTCCCCTTTGTTTTGTCATTTTCTCTCCCCTGTCTCTTCATCCTATCCCCTCTGATCGCCTCTGCTCTCTCACATCTTTGCTTTTCCTCTTTCTTCTTTACATCTTCCCGTCTTCACTTTTCTTTATTGCATTTTCTGGTCTATCTCCCGTTTCTCTTTTCAACTATTTTCACTTGTTTCTCTTCCTATATCTCGTTACTTGTCTCTTCTCTGCTCTCGCTGTATAACCCTCTCTTCTTAACTCTTTAATCTTTACCCTTCTACTCCCTCACTGCATCTCCTTTCGATTCTACTTCTCTGTTCTTCACTTGTCCTTTTCCCTGTGAAAATCGCTTCTCTTCCTGCTCTACATTACTGAGCTCTCCTCTTTTATTCTCTTATAATTACATCATATCTTCTTCTTTTTTTATTCTTCTTTCTCTAGGGGTAACCATCTGGGAGGTGATGACCTTTGGTGGGAAGCCGTACGATGGGATTTCCACCAGAGATATCCCAGACCTGCTCGAGAAAGGAGAGCGTCTTCCTCAGCCTCCCATTTGCACCATCGACGTCTACATGGTCATGGTCAAATGTAAGTAGATGGGTGGGCATAATACTTTAAAGTCCTTACAACATAACATAATCAAATAAAACACCACCACAAACCAGAGCTTCAAAAGAAGCATCTTTCCGACATTCTCAACTATTATTTGCCATTATAAGCTACAAAAAGATATGTATTGATAAGCCTCTGTATAGGAGTGTCTTGCACATGCTTTCCAGTTTTTGTTTCTATCCACTGCTTCAAACAAGTAAAAAAAAAAGATGGATTTACGGTTTGAGTGAGTGAGTGAGTGATTTTCAAAATTCCAAAACAGCTTTTTTGTACAAGACGGTGGTGGTATCAACGATGACATTTTTAAAGCTGAAATATTGCTACTCTAATATTATTTTACATTTTATATTTTCTATTGTCAGTGTAACCGATGAAAAACCTCTCTGATGGTAGTGGGAAATCCTTCAAAAATAACTTTGGTAGAAGATAACTTACAGTAGGAATTCTTTTTTTCTACCTGGCATTGACCCCCTACCGTTAACATGTTGGCGTCATTGGTTGGTCACTGCTGTCATGCTGTCAGGCACTGGGGTCACAGGTGGCGTTGTAACCTCTGGCCACATGCTACCAGGACAAAGGCTCGGTGCCAGCGCTACCCTGGCCTTGTCCTGTAGGCTCCAAGCTGCAGCCTCTGACCCTCACTGTCACCTTGGCTCTTACTGACAACCTGAACCTGTGCCAACCTGGCAACCAGATACAGTCCCACAGCAGGAAGAGGTCACGGTCACCTGCCTGTTATCTGCCTTTCTTTTTGGACCAACATACATGCACAGAGCACATTGACCCAAATACTCAGACTCATGTTGCATCGCGCACATGTTGGGGAAATGCTCTTCCTGATGTTCAGGAGCTTTACTGGCGTTAAACTAGGTACCAAGATACAAGATCATATTTTTTACATGTGCAATATTTTATAGCTGTATGTGTATGCGTGTGTGTAAAGCAACACCTCTCTGTCTTTCCATCTCTTTCTCTTATTTCCCCGGACACCTAGACAGACCTTACTCAGGGCCAGATCACATGATTGCTTTGGCATCATACTCATGTGTTCACAGAGAACTTGGCAAAAGAGCACATTACGCCATATGGCCATTCCTAATGAAACAGTATTTATCTTCAGATTGGAAAGAAATCATTACAATCAAAAGAATTTCATGAAAAAAATGTGTGATTGTTCATTATGGATTAAATAATAAACTTTTATATCTTGAAAAATCTTTTGAGACCTTCAGAAGTGGGTAATTATATCATCAGTGTTTGCATCATGTGTAGATGAGGCTTGTGCTTACCTCAGAAAATAACCTAGTGGGGGAAAAAGTTAGGATGTTAAAAGTGTCAAATTTAAAGTAAAGGCCTATTGGTAAAACATATAAAACATCCATAGGTTTAAATATCAAATATGTATTTAGAACGTCATATTGATCAGAAACTAACACTAAGACATTTTTCAGGCTGGATGATTGATGCAGACAGTCGGCCCAAGTTCAAGGAGCTGGCTGCAGAGTTCACTCGGATGGCTCGAGATCCCCAAAGATACTTGGTCATCCAGGTAGGTAAATCTTGGTGACATGCTACGAGATCTGGATTACATGACACGTCTTTTTTTTATTTGTCTAAAAACAAGCATAGTTGAGCTATCTTCAAAGTGTTCAAAGTGAAAGCTGCCAGTCTTCCATTTTGCTTGGTTTTGTGTAATTTTCCTATATTTTGCCAATTTATATAGACTTTAGGTAATTATATATATATATATATATATATATATATATATATATATATATATATATATACACACTATTATTGACTACAAATTACATTTTACTCACCCTATTCCTTTGGGAGAGTATTCATCACATTACTTGTGTGTTATAGCTAAACATTATTAAACAAATGCAGTGATGCTAATCCTATATCATAAGCAAGAGTCAAATAACAATGACACAAATCTTCCTTTTAATCTTTTTAATAAGAATATAACTCAAGCATCTATGTCTCTTCAAGTCGTATTTACCACTTTGCTTTTGCATGCGTGAACTACTTGTTATTCTGATATTTTCAAAATAACTTAAAATAAATCAGAATAATAAAATAGGAATGGGGATTATTTATAAATATATATTATTTCAATTAGGATGTGAAAGGCCTTAAAGTTTATACAATTAAAACCAGTTGCATTATTTATTTAATCCTGAAATACTAATACAAATGACTGAACACGTACATGCTGTGCATCCACACACAACTGTACTCAGGGTGACGACCGCATGAAGTTGCCTAGTCCCAACGACAGCAAGTTCTACCAGAGCCTCCTGGATGAGGAGGAGCTGGAAGACCTGATGGATGCTGAAGAGTACCTGGTGCCTCACTCCTTCAACATTCCACCACTGGCATACACTCCCCGCACACACATGGACTCCAGCAAGGTATTCTCCTTTAAGAATCTCCAAATAGCTTAATAATGTATCGCTGTAATGATTCCTCCCATTCATTCTGGCCAATAGAAGATCTCTTCCTAAAGCATTATTGTTCTGAAAAATAATTAAAAAAAACTCAATGGAATTAATGGAACATTTCAATACCATCTGAAAAAAAGGCTTCTGGGGATATCATTGGCTGATTGCAACAGTTCACCAGAGGCCTGTTAATTTCCACAGCTATATCTTTGACTTATTTCTTATACTTAAATCTTCTGGTGGTGGACGGTTTTTAATGTCTTGAATCACAGAAAGGATTAAATCTACTTCTCAAACAGTCAAAAAGTAAATAATGTGAAAGGAGAACCAAACATAACAATTAGGACTTCTGTAAGAAACCTCTCTAACAAACTAGGCAAGCCTTGTTTTATATGTCCTTGAATCAGCTCGCAGAAACTTGAGTGTCATGTATGCCAACATGGTCCTTTTTCTCTATAGTGTGATGGCCTTGTCAGTTCATTTTTAAACCATCAAAATGAGATTTGATTAGCCTTCAATACAGCAGATATGCTGTGACACACTCATTTCCAATTTCCATTTAACTGGAAGGTTATTATTAAAGGATAAAATAAGGGTCACTTGTCCTGCTTGGTTGTTTACCAATAACAAAAACCATGATGGTGTAGGTCCCAAAACGTCCATGTTACTTTGGTATTGCTAATGTCCAGTCATGTTTTATGTGATAACTCAGTCCATATCAGTCAATTGTTTTTCACAACTGAACTCGCCCCAGCATGATGAAACATATAAGCAAAACAAACTGTGAGTCAATACATACAGGCTTTCTCTCCTATATTGTACAGTCAGCCCTTGTATTATTTATTATTCAACGTAATACTTGGTTTGTTTATTTTTCCTTGTAGAATAAGCTAGAATTAAGTTGTTCATCTTTTTATTTTACATGAACTCTTCCTTACTACGATTTATTTTGGAGTGTATAGCAGCAGGTTGAATGACTTTTTCTATGATGGAAAATGAGACAAGATTGAAGTCAAAGCATTCATTCAGCTCATTTAGATGCTCTAAAGTGATGTGGGAATGAATTTTTCTCAGCGTGCACTGCAGGACTCTCCTGTTCAAGCACAAAAGATTGACAACTTCAAATCGTCTCACACAGCTTTCTCAGTTTCACTATCATCTCCCTCTTTCTTTCTCAGTCTGTTTTATTTGGTCTTGCTCCATTGTGAAACTATGGTAATGACATTCTTCAAAATTGCGGTGTGGAGCCAGATTCCCTCTGTTCTTAAACTGTTCAACTGTTCACCATCTATCTTTGGACTTAAATCTATCACAAAACCAGTCACACAGCCAGGCAACTCAGCCATTTTGGATTCCAATATCCCCCTGTGTTTGTCAGGATAAAAAACGCCTTCAGAATGCCAATGAGAGACACGACTCCTTTTCCAACTCTGTTTGGTGCATTTCAGGGGGTGACAGATTATTCATTCCAAAATATTTGTAGAGATAGCCTTCACTGTTTTCGGTGTTATTTATTTGGGGCTGATACTGAATTAATTTGATTAATTTCACATAGGGCTACACTCATCCACATAAATCATGTAGATGATTGTAATGAACTCAATTACTGTCGCTAACTAAATGCAATATTTACACATAAATATAATCTTCACTGGCATGGTTGCACAGCATAGCTGGAAGTGTTTTTCCTTAATTCACTCACAAACACACACATGGTTAAAAAGTCCTGTGTGTGTGTGAGACCCATCCATCTCCCCTCCCGATCACCATAAGTGGTCTTTCTCAATAATACTTTTGCACTAGCTCTGACTGTTGCATAGTCATGTGGATGCATTTAATTTGGGTGTCCAACACGAAAAAAAGGGATCCTAATTGACTTTCCACTGGCTTTGTTTATGTGCTTAACAACACAAAAATCAAATGGAAAATTTGTGTCCCCATACATGAAATGAATAGATTGTATTTTGCGACTGTTTCACTAACTGCCGTGATACTGGGCTGGGTCTCCACACAGCTCTCAATATGGAGACGGCTGAGCTGCTGGCTCGCAGCTAATGATGCTAACAGTGCAAAAAAACGGCAACATTATTTGAATGGGACATTTTATTTGAGTCTTTAAAATATTTAAGTGTGATGTTTCACTTTCCCAAAGTTTACCGTTTCCACAATTTATTAATTGAGTTCCATGATGGGCTTCAAAAGATTTTGAAGGCTATTAGGATCTAACTCTTCATACAGGCCTGAGGCACCACTTTCTTGTGGTATATACAGGATGCCAAAAGTCATGAATAATTGGGACAACCTGATAAATAAATGACTTTAAAAACTCTTGTTTAGAAGTTTGATTTGAACCTGCACCTTCATCACCAGTCCAGAAATCCATTAACTCAATCCCCCCCTTTGTAATTCTCTCAACTTGCATGAAACGTAAGTGCAACAGGGGAAAAAGTCAATCTTTTATATCTCATTAGTATCATTACAGACTGCTCAGAGATGCATGCAATAGAGAGTAAGCGGTGGGATGTGAAACAGAAAACGTTTTGTTGGATTCCTGGGATAAAAGATAAATCAGAATAAATCACGTAGTGAGGTTCTAAAAATTCCCTTTTTGTTGTGAGTACAAATGCTCACAGCAGGGCAGAGCTGATATGGCTACTTTAAGACTCTGCTGCATGGAGCCTTTTAATTAAAATCCTTTTAATTAAATTGTCCTTGGCAGTCATGCTGCCATATCAATGTTTGGCACTGCTGCCTCCCCTGCCTGTCACATTTAAATGTTACAGATGAACAATGGTTCAAAGAACTATTTTTTGGGATTTAAAGCACAAATACTAAGTACTTTAAAGTTTCATTGTTGTATATTATATATGTTTGTTTTTTATATGTTGTACGTAAACTACCTGCTTTAACCCTCTCCCTCGTCTCCTTCTACCAGAACCAGTATGGTTACCAGGACCCCAGTTTCAGCATGGAGGACATGCTGACCAACCTCCCCAGAGTGGTCTCTGTTCCATCTGTGTCTGGAGGCTGCCTCCCACCACAGGACCTGTCCTCAGGTGGGCAGATTGGTGGAGGATTTGGCCGTGGCAACCAGGACGACCCTCGCTGCAATGGAACCCTGAGGAAGCAGGCCTCCCCAAGGTCACGTACCATTGTACCTGGTTCAGCTCTCACTGCGGGACAAGGTAAAGCAAATTGTTTTCTAAAAGTTGGAGAAACTGAGGAGAATAGCAATATCTTCACTACATGTGTGTGTGTGTGTGTGTGGGGGGGGGGGGTCTCCTTAATCAAATCAGCAGGTGAGCAGAAGACAGTGTGAGACTGCTAGATATTGCAAGAGTAACAGGGACTACGAAACTAAGACATCAGTTCAATTAGCTTTCAAAAATGCTTTTCACACATTAAATAGATAGCTTATAGTTTGAATGCATTGTGCCTTAATGACATTTGACTAAAGTTAGCATGTTGAAGTTTCTTCTTACAGCCTTAATCTTCAGGTAGTCTTATTGACACAATTTTTGGGAAAACTGCCGTGTGTAAAGCAATATCTGATGAAGCCTTTGGCATTGTTTTTCATGGAGATACGGTTTCTAAAGTAGCATATTTTTAATTCTGTTCTTTTATCCTTCCTGTATTTTTGCTTCCCAAGGTGGAGGGGAGGACAGCAGTGGACAGCGTTACAGTGCCGATCCCACCGTTCTTTTAGCAGAACGAGGAGCAAAAGGAGACAAGGACCAGGATGGCTACATGACTGCCATGAGAGACAAGAACAACTCAGGTTACATTGAAAGCTTTGAGAACTCATGCAGACTATTGGACGCATGTATATGACTTTTTAGTGGCTACAATAGCAACAGTTTCAGAAGAGATGAAAATATGTTAGCTAATCTTATGATCCCCTGTTTTTTCCTAGACTATCTCAACCCAGTGGAGGAAAACCCCTTCGTCACACGTCGTAGGAATGGCGACGCCCATGCAGTGATGGATGGAGCGGGTTGCCACACCCTGCACATGGCTGGAGCTGCCGCTCCCCCCAAGAGCCAATCCACCCACGGGGAGGACGAGTATATCAACGAGCCACTGTACCTGAATACCTTCCTCAACCCTGGAGACAAGAACGGATTGGCTGGTGCAATCTCCATCTCTGGCCCTGGGTCCTCTGCTGCCCAATCAGTATCGCAGACAGTCAACCCATCAACATCAAGCCACACGGTCTCCTCCACTGGATACGTAGTTCCCCCTGGCCACCTCCCTCACCCATCGTATCCATCACATACCATGCATTCGGGGCATTCAGGACACGCTTTGCACTCAGGCATCACCAGCAGCACAATCATGTTCGATAAGAAGGGCAAGAAGGCTACTTTTGACAATCCTGAATACTGGCAGCACAGTCTACCCCCGAAGTCCTCACTGCACAACCCCGAGTACCTGCAGGACTGCAGCACACGCTTCTTCTATCGGCAGAATGGACGCATTCGCCCCGCTGTGGCGGAAAACCAGGAGTACTTGTCCGAGGCTGCTATGAAAGCTGGCAATGTGTTGCCGCCCCCTCCTTACAGACAGAGGAACACTGTAGTGTAGTGACCAACCTGTAGCACAATGGAGGGATGAATAGAGGGAAAGGGGTAATGAAGAATGGATGTTAAACAGCCCTCTCGTTTTCATGCAGTAGTTCTCAACCTGGGGTCTCCTTGCACTCTCTCTGAACACGTCTCTCTGTTATGTCTGATTGCAAGTCTTTTAGTCTTATTCCAAGGTTCTGTCTTTTCTTGACAGGATTACAATAACAGTCACTGACAGCCTCACTTGACGATAAAACCATCACTTTTAGCTCCTGTTTTGGCCATAAAAGCAAGTAGACACTTCTCTTTGTGGTAGGTTCTATTCTGCAGCACACCGTCCTGCCATGTTAAGTATTAGAACAGCACCAAAACAACACAATAAAAGAAGTGAGATGTTTAATCAGAGAAAGAACTCAGAGGAGAAATAAACTAAGGTTAGCCCAAAGAGAGGATTATCGCCATGACCTTACATGGTTTTCTTTCTACACCCATCAATTAAAGTCATTTAAGCACATTACCACTGAGATAAATGTACCATTGCTTGTGTGCAATTCAATGGCACATGCACATGGAGTTGTGTCGTGACTTACCAGCAAACCCACAGTCATGCTGAAGATCCCAGATGTGGCTTGCATGGTTGCCCACACGCTTCCTTTACTTTTACATGTTGCTGCACAAGTAACCTAAAACCTAAAACATAACCTAAAACATGTTAACATGCCTGCAGTCTTGACACACCAATAACATCCATGCATTAATTCATGAGTTAAAAACAGCGACAGATAAGCTTGCTGCCTCTCAATTGACCTTGTGCTGGAGGACTGTGTGTGCGCGGATAATGGCAGTCAGTGTTGCAGTACAGAGAAAGGAAAGTAAATGTCACTGCAGTTTTATGGAAAGCTGTGATATCAGCAAGTACCTGGTGGAAAGCATTGGCCAGATTATTGGCCTGGCTAGGCTGGGATTTAAAAGGTTGATCACTCAGAAGATGATCCTTAGCTTCCCACGTCCTTCTTGTTCCACTTTCATCTACAACAATCTGCTCCGAAGGGCCAGAAAATCATCCACTTCAATATTACCTTCATAAGATCATTGTAACCAGCATCTTGACTGACACAACCAATGGTAACTGCAGTACAAGGAATACTGTTTCAATGGAACTGGTGCTTGTGAATGGACAGATATTTTAACAGGGGAAGAAGTATGGTGATGGTGTATATAAAGGGGAAAATATACTGTTTTTGAATCTGGATTCGATTTATTTTTTTTTTGCCATCAGGGATCTGTTTTCTTTGTCACCTTGTCTTACACTAATTATTACGCAAACAGCACAGACACCGGGCCACGAAAGAGCACTGTGGTTGTGGCTAAAAGGCTAACCATGCAGAGCTGTAAATACGCAAATTACATGTCAATTACCAGACAGATACAGTGCCAGAAAAAGGCTCTGTGAACCGAGCCGTGACTGGAAGTACATCAAAAGACGAGGATAAACGTTTTTTCTGCACCTCTCTGTGTCCATACTATTGTATGTTCTGAAAGCAGAAAATTAACGTCGACCACGTAGTCACGACTCCCGGGCCTTGCTCTGTCTCTTATCGTGAAGGAGGGAACAGGAGAGACTGTCAAAACTGTCAAAGGAGGCTTCTTCAAGATTTCTACCATGAAACAATATGATAAAATGGGACACTTTCTTTTCTATTGGTATTTGACATTGATGGGGAGACATTACAAGTTATCACTGAATTCACTGATGGCTAGCTTTCTGTACTCATACAATACTGCCAGATGCCACAGTAAACTCTGATGGAGACCACTAGCATCTGTCGTCAAATGACTTTGAAGCCTAATTCAGGATGGGGTTGATCATTTAATAGCACTTGATGCGCTTACACAGCCAAATGACTTTGCTGTTATTCGAACTCTAAGCGGCAATTCTGTCTTTTTATCTTTTCATCATGTTCCAACTATGATTTACAGTGAGATGCTGAGGCCTCGTGTTATCTGTTTCATCGGGCATTTTACGAACAAAGGAGCATCCCCACTCTAAACAATATCAAGATAGTAGTTGGGTTGGGAGATACAGAACGATGTACAACGGGGATAGAAATTTGTCAATTTTTCGATACCCTTTCTACGCAGGTAGCTATCCCCTTGGTATCTCTAATTTTACTACACTATTGCAGGCAGATTTACAGGATTTTTGTATCAATGTGATGAAATACCTTGATTGTTAAGATTGTTGTTAAGGTATTTCATTTACTGGAGTGAAGGGGTATTCCAGTGATTTAGCACTGCACTCAAAAAAGACCAAAACTGAAGGAGCAAAGGACAAGACTCTTAGTCTCTAGTATGGGTTAAGCTCCAAAAAACAAAAGTCCAACAATTCCCATAATGCAGCTCATTAAAACTCATTGCAGCTCAATTCATTTGACGCTTTTTATCTCTTAATCCCCACACCTCTAGTTTATAATGCAGGCTTTTTTGTGAAAAATGTCTCTAGCCCAAGCAGAGATAACCCTAATGACATCATTCATGACATACCTGGGATATTTTCTTAGTCTTTGGAAAGACCTCTCCAGAGCTACAGAAGACATTATACAGCTGTTTTTATTCACAAGCTGAGTAATTCAGCTGGTGACCGGCAAACTGAACTTCCTGTAGTAAATTGCTGGGGTACCCCTTTAACCAAAAACAGTCTATATTCAGTTTCTCAATTGAATTTCCAGAAAATGTACTATAATATGATATATAGTCACAGTTGATAACAATCTACACATACCCTATCGCCTACCAATATCGCCCACCCTGAGTAATTGGTGATAATATTATGAATTAAGAGACCGACTAATGCCTGTGCACGTCTCACTGCTGACATACCAACACACAACCACTGTTACGCAACCTTGTGCCTGCCTCTACACTGAAAATACCAGGCAGAGGGAAGGTTCAGACAAGCAGTGTTGATGATTTACTTTCCAAAACACAGATGTCACCCTGGCACAGTGTTTTCTCCCCCTCTCAGGTTTTATGAGGAACAATAATCATCCGGTTGAGCTCCAGCTGAGGCAAAAGTTGCCCCATCATAAAGAAATTCAGATATCAAGCCTAGATTGATTAGTGTCATCACAGTAGACCCACTCCTGAAATGTACAACTCAACAGAAATGTGAACGGGTGGGGACGGCCTGGGTTTAAATGTTCAGTCTTGAAGTGTTAAGTATTATTGACGTTGCTCTGCTGCTAACATTCTTTAGCTACATTAGATGTGTCCTGTCACACTATCTCAGATCTTCATTGATACGCTGATTCCTGCTGAGTTTTAGCTCACACTTACAGTATGTATACCGTCTTTGTTTAAATGTGTGCACGCGTCCATTATGTTTTTAGAGTTAAAGTCAGTTATGTCTATTTTTACCATCACCCATAAGGTAATAGTTGTAGTGCTTATAGACTGCTGTGTGGCCGTGTGTTTAAGTGCAATGACAGCAGATGAGAGTCACCCAAAAGGCTTCGTAATGGATCTCTATGGAAAAATAAAGCCAATCTTCTGAAGGAGAAAACCTGCTGGTGCTCTTAGCCAGCGAGCATCGCAAGGGGCTTTTAGCATTTTGAATGCTAATTCATCCACTTTCCCTTGTTGTTCTGTGGGGAAATCATGTTACCCAACATCTCACCCGCTGCACCACCTAAGAAACCGTGAATGACAGGCAATAGGTTGTAATCTTGCAGGGGGGTTAAAACTAAGGTATTAGCATTCCAGAAATGTTACCCGACCAATGCATCAATGTTACAAAAGCTAGCAGGGGAGACGGTGCGAGTGCACTGTAACTGGCAGACGAGAGCAGAGTAGATTGCCATTCTTTCTTTCTTCCTCCTCAGAGGTGACTGTAGAATTGTATGTAGCAAACACTGTTCTGCAGCCAGAGCAGAATGTTGAATGAATACAAACCAAGACCAATACAATCTGGAAAGAAAAAGTGAGTGTGGTCAGATGTTGACATGAGTCATGGTTTCATGTGAAAATATATTACTTTATCTGTCAAGGTGAGCGTTATAGGTACGGTGGTCATTTAGTAAAGGAGCACGATGGGCCCTTTTCACAGCAGCCATTTTGACAGGTCATAGCAGGGTAAACACAGGTGTAATTGATCAAATTAATTATGGTCGCAATCTATTTAGTGTCACAGCCATTCCAGTGAGCCAGCATGCACAAAACCAGGAACCTGGCCAACCTAAATGGAACTGGGCCACTATTAATATGATCATTTATACCTGTGTTTACCCTGCCGTTACATGGTTGTGTTAAAAAGGACCTATAATTGCCTCTCAATACTGGCTACTCAAACAGTAAACTAGCCTTATAGTGACAGTTCTATTTATTTTGTGCATCTACTTTTATTTTGGGGTTTAATGTAATTTTACCAAATGCTATGAAATGATGTTTTTTTTTTTTCTTTTGGGGAGTCTAGCTAGCTACTAGCTGTGTCCCAACTCAAGAGCTGTATGTTTGCCCTTCAGAAGAACTGAAGTCAAGGCTTTCAATCTGCACATCATTGCCAAACGAGACTAGATTTAAAAAGACCAAAACAAAAGTTGTGTTCAGTTGCACCTCGTCAACCCATTTTGCTTCTGCAAGTTTTGTACTAAGCATTTCCCTCAGACGGCCTATGACATTTAAATACCAATGGTTAAGTGGGGAAGGTTTCATGATTCCTGACTGAGCAGTATGATTTGATATTTCACCTCAACATATGACGAACAAGTGGCAGGTTAATAGTGGCAATTTGCAAGTAGCTTCCATTTATAACCCCTTGGGATTAACATGTCAAGGCTGCAAACAAGAACAAAAAATGGAGATCATAACTTCCATGATTTAGACCATGCAGTGTTTTTTCAATTGGTTCAGTTCATGTGATATGATTTATATCTGATAAATGTGAACTTCTACAAGCTTTACAAGTTGGCGTGGTTTGCCTGACCACTCTGGTTAAAACTGGTGCACTTTCGATTGTGGGATTTTAAGGACTGCACATGATAAACCAGCCGTGTCCTCCAAAGCAAAGCAAGCTTCATATTTAGTCCCATTTTGTGGGGCCTTTGAAATGGGACAGCCCTTTTTGGACCTTTAAGATGTACTATCTGGCCCAGAAAGGAGGACTAAGGAGGGTCCAGCCCCTGAACTGGGACACAGTTATTGTATTTATAGATTGTGCTCTATTTCACTTTTGTATGTTTTGATTATTCATATCATGAGGACCTTTTTTACAGCATTGATGAAATCAATCCACCTGTGGTAGATGGACTTGCTGTATTGGATAAATACGTGTTACACTTCAGAGAACTTCACTATTAATAACTCAAGTAGAACTAGTTTTGGTCAATGCATCCTCAAGCAAACACATTTTTTTAAAGGGAAACCATAAAGCAGCAGACAAACACATGTTCTTCTATTGTAATAGAATGAAACTGTGTATGGTTGTCACACTCTGGTTTTACCCTAAATCATATGCATACATTTTACCATGCCACAAAAACTGGCATAGATGACAGAGGTTGAGTAAGCACAGTTTACAAAGTATTGAATTGATGGTAAAACTGTAATCAAAAGACAAAGACGTTCAGATAATGGGTCATCCGACAGTTTTACCATTGTTAGAAAAATAACAAATTAAATAAAGGTGAATAGTATTTTTATAGGTAGGTAAAAGGTGGCCAGGTACATCTGTAAATAGGAGAGTGATGCTTCTTTTCCAGATGAAGATATTTTTTTGCTTTGTTTTTATTTCTCTTTGCATCATTGCAATCTTAGTGCTCTACTGTACCTTTATTAATTTCTTTGGGGAATATCTTGTCTGTCTCTGTATATATATAAATATGTATATATTCAGCATATATACAGTATATATATATATATATATATATATATATATATATATATATATATA